CTCTCTCTATCTCAATGTCCCTCCCAGGACATAATCTGTAGAACAACACTTGTATCAAAGTTATAATCATCCTCCAGTGAATTATTAATTACCACGTTTAGCAAAATATTTGAATATCAAACTATATTTTCACACTATAATAAATATTTTTCTACCAATTAATTATTATTATTTTTACTATAAGATGAAAAAATGTTACATCATGCGGAAATATATATATTTTTTTAAAATTTTGTTTCTCTATTATCGATTTTTAAAAAATCCGCTTTTAACCATAAACCATGTTTCTTTCTTCTTTAGTTACTAATTATTTATTTTTTATTTTTTAAAAACGATAATTAAATCTAAAACAAAACAAATTCTAAATAGTTTAATGACTAGTTGATCCACCCCACTAGTTAAGAGTTACGGATTAGTTTATCTGTTGGATAGAATATTTTCGAGTTGATCCACCTCCGGATAGCGCTAACTGACAGATAAATTGCGACTTATCTGAAAGTTATCTATCGGCCAGATGAATTGACCAATAACAAATTTAATTGTCAGTTAAACGCAAAAGTGAGGTTTGTCAGCCAAATTTGAAGCGTGATAAATTTAAATGTATCAGTGTTTATATGTTTTGTGACAAAAAAAGGTGGAAAAAAACAACTTTATCTTCATTTAAAAATATTATTATTTGAAAATTAAGTATCCAAAAGAGCACAATAAAAAATGTATTTGAATCACTATGTCTCCGAATGTAACAACCTAAAACTATTATCTGACACTTAAACCTTCCAATAAACTTTCAGTTCTAATAATGTTAGTAACAAATTCTAAATAATTCAAATCTAATCCAGTTCAAAATCAGTTATCTCTTTTCCAAGTTCTAATCAAATTCAGATTTAATTTTCAAAAAAATAAGTCTAAAATAAATAATTCAATGATAAGATGATTAGATGATATAATACAAAGACATGAAAGTGCCCTCTTTTTAAAGAATTGACCATATGTATGTATATGTATTTTTCTGGCTTATATGCAGATGTTACTTATGTCTGGATACATCAACGTGTAATATACTGCAACAGACAATATTGTGCCGCTCCCACTTTTTAATGGCTCTACAATGACTGCACCGATTACAGAGAAATTTATAGGCATATAAATAATATCGTCCAGCACATCTGACGTGTAGCAAAAATACACAAAAATAGAAATACTGGTATACAGAACAAGGGATTTGAAGATTGGAAAATTGTTATGAAATTCAATGATAATTCTTAGTCGAAATTTATTGCTGTAATATAGGATATACATACTTTAACATGGCATTTTGTCGCGTACAAATAATTTAAAATAAAATAAATTATTAAAAATTCAATAAATAAATGACATTACAGTGGGAATCCACCCATACTGGCTGTAAAATGTTAAATTCATTTTCATTCATTTTATTTAAATAATTAAATTATCATATTAATAAACCAACTTGCCAAAGTCGTCAGATTAATTATTAAGATGTAATAAAATAAATATTGGTTCTGATTTGTCCTTTTTTTTTGTATGATAAATTCTTGCGAGGCATTGAGGATTTTCGACTGATAAAAAAGGCATTAAGGACAAAACTATCGTTAATTGAAATTAGAAGTCATCAAGGAAAGAGCTTCCTTGTGTATAAATTTGAATGTGAGTCCCGAATATTCAAAAACACCATGAAGACGAAAATGCTGTTTTGTTGACGATCTGGCAAAATACAGGCAGCCATTTTTCTATGAAATTCTCACATTAATCAATTCAACATCGGATAGTTCAGGAATCTGCGTTACCGACGGCCACGTATCGATTATCGATTGCGAATATTGTATTGAATAATAATTAATCAAAATCACACCGAGAAGAGAGGTCGCTGATTAGCGACGCTTTCGAGCTTGACTCGTCAGCCATTTATATCTCATTCTCATCCTGATGGTCGTCGAGTTAGTGTCATTCTCCTTTGGTGAAATATTTCAAAATTTAATGTGTAAAATTCAGACGAGGTAATGATAGTCGTCGTCATCCATGTAAATTCGGACGATGAGTCCCAATAAATTTATTAAGGGTCGTTTCCTTACGAATCGATCTCATTATTATAATAATTATAAATCCAAAAAATAAAATAAAATTTGAATCTTGTCTTTCGGCCTTCTGATAATTTTTGTCTTTTTCTAAATTTTGAAGTGAATATGAATAAATAGTGTAATTGTTGTAAATTTGATGTAATTAATGGTGTTTATTCTTAACACCACTCTCCGCGGTCTATTGTTGAAGTAAGGTAACAATAGAACTCCTGAGATTGTTTTTTCTAGATAAAATTATAAACTTTACTTTGTCGGGTTATTTAAATATTTTCTGGTTTAGATATTTTCCATAAAATAACTTTGCGTCTTGACAAAATTAATAATAAAACTAGTTTATATAACGTAGTTTAAATGTAAAATATAATAATAAAATAAAAATAAATCTTTAATCACCAAAAATCTACACATATAATAAATTAAACAAAATATATTTTGTCTCGGAATTGGTAAAAAAAACTGTAAAAATCAATTATAGATTTTATAAAAAATTTTAATTTGTATTACATTTCTTGCTTTTGACAAGATTCGATTGGAAAAAGAGTTGAAAGAACGATGACATGAAAAAGAAACATAAAATTTCTGATCATTTCTTGCAACCGAGTATCGACATTCCTTTCGCGGTCTTTTGTGAAAGATGCGGCATTGCAAAAGTCAAATCTTCTTTTTGAATTCTTCATTCAGAAAACATTTAATTGAATGCTTATAAATGCTCATGTATTTTAAATGAAACTAATCAAAAAAAAGTTTTAATCAAAATTTATAGTATAGCTCCACACGATGAATTTATTGTATACAAAAATACTTTTCCAATCAGAGAAATTTCTATAGAATTTTACTAGAATAATTTAATGGAATCATAAAAATTATTATCCGAAACTTATCTAGTTGTAATGTTAATTGAACTAATAAATTTATCACTTTTTTAAAATCACCGTTTAATATTTTTTTGTAGATATATATATATATATAAACAAATAAATGTTATCTGATTGTGAAGATATTATTTATTTCTAAATGTCTGACTTAACTTTTATATGTACTACTTAAAAGTCTTGATTTAACATCATTTCGCTACTTCAGTTGTGAATTTCGTCTAACTAAACGTTCAGGTAGTACTTAAAAAGTAAATTTGTCTGTTCTGACCTCGTTTTTAATTAAAAGTCATTAAAAGAGTTTTCATATAAATTTGAAATGTTAACGTTAAAGCAATTCGCAATTTCCCCAAACTTATACATTGGAAGATTAAATAAATTTTGGGTATAATTTAACTCAATAGAAATTTGAAAATTTACCCTCAATTTATTATTTGTAATTCTCAGGAATAATGAAATATTTGCTTTTATCTTCGTTATTGCGATTTGGTTAAATTTACATAATGATAAATTAATTTCTCAACAAAAGGAAATTGAAAAATATAATTGATAATAAGCAAGAAAAATTTGGCGCCAAATTCAGATATTCAATTTTCTTTAAAAGCTCTTCATTTTTTGTTTTTTTTTGAATATATCAAATTTTTAACACACTCACGTCCTGTTTCTTTTATTAAATTAATAAAAGTAATCTAATATTTGGAAAGAAGATAAAGTTATTTTACGAATTCTCAAGATTAATAAAATTTTTTTATAACTCTCCTCAAATATAATTGAATCCAACTTTTACTTAATTTTTTTAAACTTTTAATTTTTTTTTAATTTGTCATTAAATTTATGTCCGATAATGACAGGAAATTTGTTAGAATTTTTATTTAATAGAATTTTATAACCTATAGTTAAATGATATTCATCGAAAATTGATCTCCGTTCCTCACAGTTACACTTGCATTCTTTCGAGAACTTAAAAAACATTTGTTTTTAGATATTATTCGGGTTTGGAAAATATTCAACATTCTCATCTGAGCAAAAATCTTGATAATCGGAAATGGCAATCTCGTTTCCAGATAAGGTTGGAGACCATCATATAAGGACAAATGCGAATAAAATTTCAGAGAAGAAGAGTTCTGGAGTCTCTCCAGATCCTGACTGATTAAAAAATTTTCAAATTTTTTCAACAATTTATTTTTATTCATTTTTAAAACGTCAGCAGACAAGGAACTCCAGATCTGCTCCGTTCCTATATGCTATTAAAAAAATATGGTTTTAACTTGGTAAGCCCAATTATATCTCGCATCGACTTTCTTATTTCTATCAGCCAAAATTTTAATTCTCTCGAAACATATTCTTGGGTAACGCTCATCGTCCATGTTATATAATTTTTCCAGCCAGTTTAATACCATTTTAAAAATTCTTAACGAAATGTGTCGACTACCAGTCTCTACCCGAACCGCGTAATTTGGGGTATTTCGAGGGAGATTAAGAACTCGTTTGTAATATTCTAATTGTATTTTTTCTAAGTCCTCTAAATACCTAAGACCCCAGATTATGACTGCGTACAAAAGGGTGCTAGCAACAAAATTGTTTAAACAAACTTTTCTACTGGTTTCCAAGAATTCAGATTAAGATTGTTAATTAAGGGAATTGTAGTTCTCATCACCAATTTTGCCTTACTGATTGCCACCTGTGACGCATTCGAAAAGAGAGCAGATTCCGCAAAAGGGATTCCCAGATAGTTATATGAATTAACTATTTCAATTGTTTCATCCCCGTACTTTAAGGAAGGATATTTTTTTTGTATAACCATGCCCTCCCTTTTGAAAGATCACTACTTTAGTTTTATCTGTGTTAATTTTTAGTTTATTTTCCTGACAATATTCATGTAAAACTCTAATAATTTTAATCATTTCAATTATGATAATTAAACAATGAATATTCTTGAGACGTATCATAGCGTATATTAAATTAAAACAAAAATTAATTTAATTTTTTTAAAGCAAAAACTAACCAAGTGATTTTTTTCTGTTTTCAGATTTACGAATTAGTTGCTTAGGAAAGCGGTAGATTAACAGAAATGTGATTTATCGCCTCGTTGAGGATCAAAACATCTTGCACGAATGGATAGAAATCATCGTGCAGTGACGGAGGACAAGCATAATGGTAAACGAGAGCGTGGGCTACACGGATGAGCAACGATGGAATCAATCGGCTGGAGAGGAGTTACTAAACCTAGAAACCGAGTTCCTACCATCCTGGTCTGATCTCGTGCTTGCAGCTTTGTTCTCGATCCTCATTGTCGTCACCATTGTAAGCAAGTCCTTTAAACTTGACTGACTCATGTTATTGGCTCGTCTGTAGTTTACTATAGTTTATATACATATACACATAAGCGTCTACATAAATTAATTACATTGACCCGCCACGATAAATAGCGTCTTGGAAAACTTTGGCCCATGCCAAGAATTAACTCAGCGAGTAATGCGAGTTTATAATATCATCTTATCAAATAACAAAGATTTTAATTTGCTTTCACTTATGATTTTTTATTTCATTTTTAATATTCATTTAAAAATTTTATTTTTTTTTTTACTTTTTCTTGGCATTTATTTTATTTTTATTGCAATATATTTAATTAAGGAGGTTCTCTCCCTACATTGCTAGTCAAAACAATCACCATTTAAGTTTTCATTTCATTCACGTAGTACTAGCGTAACGCTTGGCAACGTTGGATTTATACTCCTCCCGTTCTGTTTCATGTCGTCTGCAAAGGTTTTTACATTTTTAAATTGTTTTCCATTTTTTGGAAAAAATCAGTCGAGGTTTACAAATAGTATACCTATTTCGTAAAATATTTAAATTGAATTTAAAAAAATTTATTTTACTTTTCAATTTTAATTAATTAAAATGAATTAAATTAATTTACTTTTTAATTTTAACCAATTAAAATTAATTTAATTTAAAACTAAAATAAAAAAGAATTTAAATTAATAATTAAATTTTTATTACATATTTTACTACCCACATAGCACGACTTCTTGCTGGGAGGTTACTGTAACGATATCTGTAGGGTTTGTAAGGTTACCGTGTAAGGTTACCGTGTAATCCTGCCGTAAACTTGAGGTCATCTTAAAACTTCCGCCTTACAGTAAGCTTACACAGTAAAGCTAAGGTAAGCTTACACAGTAAGGTCGTGGTAAGTTTACATGGTAAGGATGTGGTAAGCTTACACGGTAAGGTGGTTTTAAGCTTCCCGTAAGTTACTATAAGGTTGATGTAAGGTTACTGTAGACATAGAATGTTGTTAATAAATAAAATTTATTAATATTTATGCGCAGTAGTTTTCTATGGCACATACGGCGGCGCAGTAACTTTTATTTGACAAACCCTATTGGGGTTCATAAAGTACTTTACCAAATATATAATTTTTTCTGCAAAAAAATTTATAATATAATATATATTATAATATAATTATTTTTAATATATTTTCATATTACTTTATATTAACAGTAACCTTACAGCAACCTTACAGTAACCTTACGGGAAGCTTACAACAACCTTACCGTGTAAGCTTACCACATCCTTACCATGTAAACTTACCACGACCTTACTGTGTAAGCTTACCTTAGCTTTACTGTGTAAGCTTACTGTAAGGCGGAAGTTTTAAGATGACCTCAAGTTTACTGCAGACTTACACGGTAACCTTACAAACCCTACAGATATCCTTACAGTAACCTCACAGCAAGAAGTCGTGCTATATGGGTAAAAATTATAATTTTTTTATAAATTTTCCTGAAATGTGTAAGAAAATTATAACATTATTAAATTAATTTTATCAATATCATTTTTCAAAATTTTTAATAATAAATTTATTATTAAAGTAATATTTATTAATTATTATTTATTATTATGAATCTTTGATGAATATACTATTATATATTCGCTGCGGACACGGAAACACGGTGGCGCCTCTAGTGGCAATGAGGCGCAATTTTCGTAGGATACTTGTCAAATGTTTACATTAGAAAAAAGTGACATTTAATTGTTTCTGGCGATTAAATCTATTTGTGATATACTACAGCGACCAAATTTATAAACTATTAAGATGTACATGAAACATAAGTAACTTTTCGATTTGGAAAAAATATTTTAGGTTGCATTTTTTATGGAGGGTGGTGAAAATGGCTATTAACATAAACAAAAAATTATTTAAAATTAATTTAAAGTAATTTTGAAAGATCTAGTTATATGCACTTTTTGGAAAAAATTATTTTCAATTAAAATCTTTTATTAGATAATTATTTCTTTACAAATTTGAACTTCTTTCTGAACTGAAAAATTGCAGTGTTTATCGCAAACTTTAGAACCAAAAGTTTTTGTTATTTAGTGAAACAATTCTCTTCAATCGTAATTTTTTTAAAGTGTTAAAAATATGTTATAAAAAAATTAATTATGAAATAAAATTTGAATTGTTTACAATTTTTTAACACTTAAAAAAATATTTCGATTGTAAAGAAAGTTTCTCTAAATTTAAACTAATCATTTATAAAAAATAGATAAAAAATTCGATTTTTGTTTATTCTAAAAAAAATGGCAAATGTTAAAAAATAATTACTTAACATAATTTTATCCGAAATTTTTATAACTAAATCTTTAAAAATATGTTATAGGGTCATTTGGGGTAAATGTAAACGGATTTGCTTAGTTTCGATAATAACGTAAGTTTTTAATTTTAAAAAGCAATACTTCCGGTTTTCTACTGCATGAACTTGTTACTTCACTTCCCTAGAAACATTTTATGAGGTACAAAAAAATATTGATCAACTTGAATCGCTTAAAACTGACTGTTTACATTTACCCCGAGATTTTGAAATTTTCCCAAAATTCGGGGCAAATGTAAACACCCCTGTAGTTTAAAGAGGTTTAAGAAAAAAGTTATCCCAAGTATACTACTGTGTAAAGGGATGTAAAAACTGAAAAAAAATTCTTGGTAGATGTAAAATAATTGAACCAATTGATTGATATGCAACATATAAAATAAGCAATCATTACCATAACAAAACTAGTAATGTAAAAACTTGAATAACTTCAATAAATTTTAATAGATTTTCATTCAACTTGGTGAAAATAAGTTTTTAAGGTTGCTAAATAAGATTCTAAAATCGAATTTTTAAATTTCAAAATGGCGGATCCAAAATGGCGGACAAACATAAAAATATTGTTAAAAATTGATCAAATTTGCTTGAATCTCGCTACTCGGGGGTTTTTGAGGTCACTGAATACGAATTTGAAGACAAATTTAAAATTTTCAAAATGGCGGATGAACCTAAATCCATAAATCAATCATCCAATCAATCCACCAATCAATAAATCACTCATTCAATCACTCATTCAATCAACCAATCAATCCACCAATCTATAAATCAATCATCCAAGCAACCAATCTATCCACCAATCAATCCCTTAATCAACCAATCATCCAATCAATCCACCAATCAATCAATCAGTCAATCAATCAAGCAGTCCACCAATCAACCACTCAATCAACCAATCTATAAATTAATTATCCAATCAACCAATCAATCCACCAATCAATCCACCAATCAATCCACCAATTACTCAATCAACCAATCCATAAATCAATCGTCCAATCAATCAACCAATCAAACCATTAATCCATCAATCAATCCATCAATCAATCTATCAATCAATCAACCAATCAATCACTCACTCTTTTTCTAGGATTCCTACGTACCTGAGTTTTATTCACCAATCGTGAAGAATCGCTTTCCTATATTTTAAACACGTAAATGCACTATGCAATACTATGCAGGTCTATACCTGCAACTGACTAACACGAAGGAGATATAAAAGAAGATCCAATTTTGTTTTTTATGTAATTTTACAGGGCCAAAATAATGTAATTGTGAAATAGAAGCAAATTTATTCAATTATTTTCTTTTAAAATGCAGCAGAAATTCTGTTTACATTTACCCCGAGTTTTCGAATTCTCGGGGTAAATGTAAACACTTAATTATCTATTAACTGAATTGACGAAATTAAAAAATCAAAGTCAGCTTTTGTTAAGGGATTCATAAGGAATAATTAGAAATTTTAGTTTGAATTTTTAGTTCATTTTTATTCAAATGCGAGACAAAATACTGAAACAGTAAAACTTTGATTTTCAATCTTTCATGCATTAAGCGATAAATTGGAGTACGGCTTTGACAATTGTCGAAAAAAAAAATTGGCAATACTCAGAACCTGTTGCAGGTGAGCTGAGGTTAAAATATTGGGGTCGAACTTAATTTTAAATCTGTAAATTAAGCTGCAATATCTGCTGTTTACATTTACCCCTTGTTTACATTTTCCCCAAATGACCCTAATTGAATATTAATTATTTAACTTTAGGCATAAAAAGTCACAGTAATATCTGTTTGTCAGATTTCTCGCAATTTGAAAATGAAGATCAAGAAAATGCAATTTCCCATATAACACCGTGTTAAATGTGAAAAGAAAAAATTTTTCATATCTTTTGTCACAATCAACCTAGACCTCCAAAAATTTAACTACATCTTTTTTAAACCAATATCTTATCAGTATATCGAGTTTCAAAATTAACTTTTTGTTATTTCTGTTTGCGAAAGAACCTCCTTTTAACATAAAATTATAAAATTTCTTTGAATTAAAAACAATAATGGAAACAAAAACAATTTGGAAATTAATTATTATTTATAAAGATGCCAAATCAATTTCAATTCTATTATTTGAACATTTGGTTAATTTTAGACGATAAGAAAAAAAAAATTGAAAAAAATTTCAATTTGAATAGTTTAAGTTACGTAAATAGGGTCATGGAAAATTTTCAAAATTCACAGAAATATCTCAGATGCTCCTGGGAATTCTTCACAACATGTTGTACATTTTATTTTCTCTGATTTTCAAAAGTTCCTTGCAGTGAAAATCACTTTATGTTCAAAAACCCTGAAACGATTCATAACTTTTTTTTTTATTATAATCATATTTTACTATATTTACTCTTTATATTATAACTTTGTTTGTATTACTATATACTATTGTTTTTCCTTTTATTCTGAAAGACATATAATTCAAAAATAACAGAAAATGACACACAAATTAAAAATAAAACATTTTTGAAAATAATAAATATGTCATCACAAAAAATGTTCTATCATTTTAATAAATAATGCGTTGAGTGTTATTTATTTTGCTAAAAAATTAAAAAAAAATGAAGTATAATAATTAATATCTTCTAATATTAATTTTGATGCTTTTTTTTGATTGCATTGAGGAAAAATTAGCGAGAGATGTCAAGAATTTAAAATGCAATAATTGTTATACTAATAGCAATAAACTCGCAGTGACTTTGTGCAATTAATTTGCAACTGTCGAGAACTTCCCTTCATTGTCAACTAGGTTCACGAAACGGAGATAGATGGGTTTAACCTTTGTTGCTTGGCATAATAGTAATTGCAGGACCAGATAAGAATTGAATTTCCGGTGAATAAATTTCTGCTGACTCTTGAATCATTATATTTTCTATCTAATTCAATTTCAATGCTGAAGATAAAAGGAATTAAATATTATAAAGTCAGTTGGATCTTTATTAAAAATATAATCTTTATTTGTGTTTTTTTTTTTTTTTTTTTGGTTTTTTTTTAATTTAATGTGAAAATACAAAAAAAAAAATTTTTTCCCAACATAAACGAACTTTATCCCCCGCTTTTCAATTTGTGAGATTTTAATACCGGGAAATATTCTCCTTGACATATATTCAACAGACATGGAATGTAAAATATGCATTTTGAAATATGCGTATTTGTGGCGCTCAGTATGTTACCTTCTTTTGCATTCAAATAATTTTAACATATTTCCAAGATTTATCAATATCGAAAAATTTCAGTAGAACAAAATCATTTTTATTTCTCTCCCTCTCTCTTTTTTTAATAGTATTTACGGAACTTTTTTTCATTTTAATCTCTTTTTTGAGAAAAGGACAAAAAAAATTTTTGTTTCATTGAAAAAAATTAATATTTACTATTGAATTCCAACAAAACTATTTGTTATATTATTTAACAAATCAGAATTAGAAAAAAAAATAATTCAATTAGCAAGTAAATAAATATATTTTTTTAATTTTACTGATTTTATTTTTAGAATAAAGTTTTATTTAGAATTTTTATTAAGATAAACATTTTTTTATTTATAAATACAATTTTAAAAAGTTGTTTCAATTTTTCATTTGCTTTCAAAAAAAGTTGAAACAAAATTTTGAGAATTATCAAATTCTTTTTTGTAAAAAAAGGATAACTTTCAAAATTGTTATTCAGATTATACAATCGCGTCCGTTCTGTGGTGTATTTACTCTATGAATTTTTGATAAAGTAAACAAAACTCTTACAGAGCTTGAGGGTACTTTATGAATGTTTGATCCTTCTCCTTATGCAGATGTTATTAATCCTTCCATCCTCAGATTCAAGCTCAACACTTTCAAAAAAAAATTTAAATTTAAAAAAATTTTCCTCATTTAAAAAATACATTTTATCAAAAAAAAAAAAAAAAAAATCTTTTCCTTAAAAATGATTTTATAATTGAAACATTGATTATATCAACTAAATTTTATGATTATATTTACTGCAATTATTTTTTTTTTTTTATATACTTGTAAATGAAATATAAAATGCAATTTCACAATTTCAAGGCTAGGAGAATATTTCACAATATATTTGTGTCATATATATGAATATATATGAATCATGTGTAAAATTTTTGATTTTTTATTTTAGGTCGGAAACACGCTCGTAATCGCTGCAGTAATTACGACCAGGCGACTGCGGTCCGTCACTAATTGTTTCGTGTCCAGTCTGGCAGCTGCGGATTTATTGGTTGGTTTGGCAGTAATGCCACCGGCCGTACTATTGCAAGTACGTATATATGCTCTCTCCTTTACCGCTAATTAACAATTACCTATCACAGATTCTCCATATAACATGCATCTAAGGTATTTGGAAATTCAATATCCCTTAAGTTGCCATTTACAATAAACGATTCAATAATAGTAATTAGAGCAACTGTCAAAATTGATAATGTTCTAACCACGAAAAACAGAAACCCTAAACATATTATTTTTCAAAAAGTAAAAATTATTTTATTTATGTTTTTTTTGATACCTGAATTGGTATCAAAGTATAACTGTCATGGCTGGCATGCTCTTATTGACAAGTTTATTAATTAATTTATTCACTGCACTGAATATTTAGATATTAAAAATACTTTTATTATGAATTTAAGAAAGAGAGAAGCGAAAACTTATAAATTGCGAGCAATTAAATAAGAAAAAATTTATTTCGAAATAAAATGAAATACACTAACCTTTATTTATGTTTATCACATAAGATTTAACTTAAGTTCACAATCACAACACTTGAAAATTTTTAATTATTTTTATGGTTCAAATAATTATCAATAATTTATTTATTATAAATGAATAAAATTTAAGCAATGCACGCTTGATAAATATTTCTAATGCTTTGTCAATTAATGAAATTAATAATTTCCTATTACACAATATCATAATCGACATATATGACATTTGTAAACAAACAGGGTTGGGAAACAAGAGCCCAAAATATGTTCGTCCAAAACAGGGTTGGGTAGAATTCTTTTTCACGTTTAAGGTTAAAGGTTCTTATATATGTTACGGTTAAAGTGCGAAGTCCGGTGAATGTGCACATTAACCGGTCAATGTGTACATTCACCGGGCATTTTGGTAAAAGTGAGAAATCGGCCATTTGGGGAAGATATTATGTACATTTACCAAGTAAATTGGTGATTGTACACATTGACCAGCCTTGGTTGGTAAATGTGAAAATTTGAAATGAGTGATTTGTTAAATAATTTTTTTATGCATATAAAATGTGAAAATGGAATGAATATTATTATTAATAAATTGATAAGATAATATTAAATATAAATTGCATTAAAGGAATAGAATTATAATAAATGAAAATGAAAATTATAAACAGAAGTAGGAAGACAAATATAAATAGAAGTTCAAATGTAAATAAATATATTAATTGCAAAAATAAATAAATATTTTCTTCCTACATAGCTATATTTAAAGTTAAAATTTTTTAATCCCAAAAAATCTATATATTATTCAAAATTCAATATTTTCTAAAATACTTTATACTTTAAAAATAGCAAAAAAAATGTCAAATTAAACAAAATTTCATGAAAGTCGTCCCTGCAAAAATAAATAAATATATTTTTCGTACGCAGCAAAATTTATTTTAATCAAAACGATTTGGGTGAATGTGTACATTTACCGGTTAAAATAGCAAAACATCAATACTATAATATTTATTTTTCACTTTAACCAAAATGATTTGGTGAATGTGTACATTTACCGGTTAAAGTGCACAAAACAAAGAAATTCGTATGCTATTCTCACAATCACCTACCTACTGATGCCCAATTTGGTCAATGTGCACATTGACCGGTTAATGTGCACATTCACCAATTTCGCACTTTAACCGTAACATATACATCAAATTTCGATCAGATGAACATTATTTCTGGACCGTGAAAATGCGTGAAAAATCATTTTCACGGCGAGTATTTTTGAATTGTTTTAAACAAAAAAGGTTTTTTTTAAGAAATATAATATTAAATAATTGTTTTAATATGTAAGAACACTTTAAAATAGTGATAAAAAGATGATTTGATTGAAAAATTTAGCAAATTTTGCTTTAAAACGTTTTTGCTACAAGAAAGTGTAAAATGACGATGTTTGTGAAATGGTTTGTACAGTGTACATGTGTACATGTTTCTTTCAGTTATTCGAAACAATTAGTTGAATTTAAATTTATTTGATAAACATTTCAACTTACCGATTTATTTTAAGCACTCATTATTTATTACAAGTTAAAAAGAACCGACATAACATAAACAAAACTCTGAGAGACACTAACAAGGAAGAAGCACTGTACAAACCATTTCACAAACATCGTCATTTTACACTTTCTTGTAGCAGAAAACCTTTTAAAGCAAAATTTGCTAAATTTTTTAATCAAATCATCTCTCTATCACTATTTTAAAGTTTATTTGAGGTATATAAGCACCTTAACGCACATGTAATTTTGAAATACAGCGAAACCTCTCATAAGACAATTTTAGTGGGGGGTTCTCTTAAAGCAGGTTTTTCGCGAGAGGAGAAATTGATGCGCAGTGACCGTTTGCGCATGGCGGTCTATTTCAAAATAATGTTGGAGTTTATTGGAAATTATGTTAGAAGAAATAAAGAGATGAATATAAAAAATAGTAGAAAAATTACAGAAAGTAATCATAAATTTCTTTCTTGCATTTTGTCCATACCCAAAATTAGCCTTATGTTTATGCTATTGTGCTTTGATAGGTTTTGACAATTCTTTCTGTTTACATTGTCAGCCATATGCACCGCATGACGTAACTGCGCATGACGCAATATGTATCTAAAGTTTTAGGGAAGGGGAACACGATAGGGGAAATTTGTCTTATTAGAGGTTGTCTTATGAGAGGTTCGCCTGTAGGGAAAAACTGAATAATTATTTTTTAATAGTTTTGTTAAAAATAATTTGAACTGTAAAAATAATGAAAAAAATTCAAATGTTGCGATCTTTGTTTAGACAAATGAAAATTCTATTAATTAGAAATTCCGATAAGAGTGTCGAACGTTGTCTTGATCAAAAACATGAAAAACTATAGTCTGTTTCACGTTCACCACTTAATTGCAATGTTTTAACAAATGAAAGAACCCCGCACCATTTACATGGGAGTTTTGGGTCCGGTGAAATTTTCTGCAACTTTGTAATTTTGTTGTTTTTGACCTCCTGAACAAAAAATGTAAATGGAAAAATTCCAAAAAATGGACAGATTTTTTAAAAATTGAGGTTTAAGTTTAAAAAATAGTGTTAAAAGTCGATCATTTTGGATCCGACATTTTGGATTTTCAAAAATTTACATCGAATTCGTAAGCAGCGACCCCGAAAACCCCCGAGTAACGAGTTATAAGAAAGATTATTTAGTTCTTTTCGTTTTACTCATTTTTGAATTTTTTCGCTTTTAACACTATTTTTTAAACTTAAACCTCAATTTTTAAAAAATCTGTCCATTTTTTGGAATTTTGTTATTTACATTTTTTGTTCAGGAGGTCAAAAACGACAAAATTACAAAGTTGCAGAAAATTTCACCGGACACCAAATTCCCATGTAAATGGTGCGGGGTTCTTTAATTTTTAATGTTAAAATGTTAAAATTAAATGTTTAATGTTAATTTAAATTTAATGTTTCAATCAATGAAACTAAACTATACTTTTATAAACAGGTTGAGAATCTTTTCGTGATAACTGAGAGCTCATAGCGAGAATTTGGAAAATGCATACACTTTTTGAAAATTGTTGTTGGACATAATTTCAATCCTATCCAACTCTGCTTTGGACGAACATATTTTGGGCTCTTGTTTCCCAACTCTGTTTGTTTACAAATGTCATATATGTCGATTAAGATATTGTGTAATAGGAAATTATTAATTGCATTAATTAACAACGCATTAGAAATATTTATCAAGCGTGCATTACTTAAATTTTGTTCATTTATAATAAATAAATTATTGATAATTATTTGAAACACAAAAATAATTAAAAATTTTCAAGTGTTGTGATTGTGAACTTAACTTAAATCTTATGTGATAAAAATAAATAAAGGTTAGTGTATTTCATTTTATTTCGAAATAAATTTTTTCTTATTTAATTGCTCGCAATTTATAAGTTTTCGCTTCTCTCATTCTTAAAATTCATAATTAAAGTATTTTTAATATCTGAATATTCAGTGCAGTGAATAAATTAATTGATAAACTTGTCAATAAGAGCATGCCAGCCATGACAGTTACACTTTGATACCAATTCAGGTATCAAAAAATGATCCCATATTCTGGATCATTTTCATTTGGATCAATTTGATACCTTATATCGAATCAAAACTTTGCATTCCAAAATGATACCATCAAGTTTACAGTATAATTATTATTATTTGAGTCAATTAAATGATATTTATTTCAATTACAGAAATTATTGGTTCAAATACAGTTTATTTAATTCAAATAAATGTGACGCGTAGCGAAGAAAGGTACCTTAGAATCAAATGAATTATAGGTTATGTTTACGACAGTTTTACCTTGATTAAAAGTTTCTTTTCGTTTTTGCCACATCAAAATCAGCTTTTATTGATTATTTTGAATATAGAAAAGACTTAAATATCATTGATTTGCATTAAAATTTAATCTTCTTTGTGTATTTTCAATTTAAAATAATTACAAAATATAACCTATAATTTTTTGCTTCTAAGGTCCCTTTCTTCGCGACGCGTCACAAATATTTATTTAATAATAGTCAAATAACCGAATATCTATTTTAATCTAAAAATTTTTTTTTATGTAAAAATTCGAACTTTTGAAAATTCAAACTTTTAGAAATTCAATATTTTGTTAATTCGAACATTTAAATATTCGATGAATTAGAAGTTCGAATTTTTAACAATTCTATCTTCTGATAATTCGAACTTTTGAAAATTTAATTATTCGCATTTCTAAAAATGTCATCTTTTGGTAATTTGAACTTTTAACAATTCGAATTTCTAAAAATTCCATTTTTTTTTATTTCGAACTTTTAGAAATTCGAAATTTTAAAAGTTCAATTTTTTGGTAATTCAAATTTCTAAAAATTCGATAAAATAATGGTTATTCGATTTTATGAAATTCGATCTTTTCAGATTTAGGCCAAAATAAGGCGACTATTTCTTTCCCTTTCATTTTAATCTTTAATGAGAAAAAAACAATTTTTTAAAAACTTAAATATCAAAAAAAATTTATTTCATAAGTATATTAAAAA